AATCCGCTCATCTGCTGCGTCTGGCTCCTTCCTCCCGGACTCTCTGTGTCTCAGGTATGACCGCAGCGGCAGTCGCCACCGTGACCCTGCCGCCGCCGCGGCGGTTGCTGGCAAGCGCTCAGATGTGTCTCCTTGCCTTGGCTTCCCCTCTCTTGACTACCTCTCTGTCCTGTGATGGCACACTTGGTATGATTCTCTGGCTTAGGACTGTTCACTGGAACTCTAAAACTGCTTTCTATGCGAGAGCTTGTTCAGATTCCAGCTTCTCCTCTGCCATCTTCCCGGAACTCTCGAGTATGTTCTTCTAAATTCCTGTTTAGAAACTCTCAGCAAAGGGGCTCAAAATAAAGACCATCTGGCGAGCCCAGCAAACTAGGGTGAAATGTCCACCAATCACGAGCCTGTAACTATGTGGACTCCCCCCAGGGAAGCCTCCCCCTAGAGAGCCAACTAGTTTTCAACAAGTGTTACAAAACTTCCCGCGCAGAGCTGAGCCAATCCTGGGGAGCCTTGGGTCTTATGCTAATCCTGTGGTTTTTTGTCTTTAAAAAATGCCTGTAACCGCTGCTCCGGGCTTCCAGTCGGCCTTGGACAGGGAGCCCGTTTGCGCAAACGCCTAATAAAATCCTCTTGCTTGTTGCATCTGCTGGTTTGGAGTCTTGGTTCTTGAGGTGCTCTCCCGTTGAAGAAAGCATCCCAGTGAGTCTGGGGTCTTTCACAGTGCTGCTCTTCTTCAGCATTCCAAACATTCTGGGTGACCACAGGGTGCCAACAGCCTATCTGAAAACAGGCTTTATGAAAAACATAATTGTCTGTCTTCCCCTTCTCTCAGGGTTCTACTGTATGGTAAACCTGAACTAACAGGATGTTTCTTGCAGGGAGTATAATTCAATTCTTTCATAATGCCTGTTTAAAAGGTGCCCAATGAGAACAGAAGCTGCATAAACAAATAGCAGGGCTCTAGCCGCATGATATATTCTGTTGAAACCTAGCCCCTCCCCCCCAAATGTCTTTCTCAAACTGGAAAAAAAAACAGTTGTGATTCTAACTTCTCATATAGCTGGAAGTAACAAAGTTAGAAGAAACCTTCAAAAACCATTCTCATTTGCCAATTCTAGGGAGAAAAACATGTAGCCTCTGAATTAAAAGCCAGAAATAAGAAATGTAGGAAAGGAGTATATTTATGATGACAGATTGATGGACGAGAACAGGAAATATAAGAAAGGTGAGCTATTTGTCTTGGAGACTAAGTTTGAGTCATAGGGAAAAGGAGCTGAAACCATCAAATAAAAATCTGTGTCTGTAGCATGGAATTATGGTAAGCTGTTTAGAAGTTCACAGGTCTGCACAGTCAATATTGAATATCAGCTCTGCTACTTAGCATCTGTGTGATAGTGGGCAAGCAATTCAATCCCTCTGCACCTCAATGCTCTCATCTGTACAATGGGGATTGATTTAATAGAATACATCTACACAATGCTTATGATCTTGCAAAGTGCCCTAGAACTTAACCTCGCACAATTGAGAACAAATTAGCAGGACACTAGTGGCACACCCCTGTAACTTTAGCTACTCAGGAGGATGAGATCTGAGGATTGTGGTTCAAGGCCAGCCCTGGCAGGAAAGTCTGTAACACTCTTATCTCCAATTAAGCACCAAAAAACTGGAAGTAGAGCTGTGGCTCATGTGGCAGGGCATTAGCCTTGAGCAAAAAAGCTCAGGGACAAAGCCCAAGCCCTGAGTTCAAGCCCCAGGACTCACTCTCTCTCATTTTCTCCCCCCACTCTCAACACCTCCCACCCAGAACACATTAAGTAAGTACTAATCATTATTGAAGAAATTAGAATTATGGCCAGGTGCTGGTGGCTCATACCTGTAATTCTAGCTACTCAGGAAGCTGAGATTTGAGGACTGCACTTCAAAACCAGCCCAGACAACAAAGTCCACCGGAAAACCAGAAGTGGTGCTGTGGCTCAAAGTGGTATAGCATCTGCCTTGAACAAAAAGAATTCAAGGACAGCACCCAGGCCCTGAGCTCAAGCTCCCAACCACCACCACCAACAACAATAACAACAACAAAAAGAAATTAGAATTACACTTCATTTTGTCATCAACTAAAATAAGTTGATTTTATTCACTTATCTAGTATTTATTGTATATCTATCAGCCAACAAGATCCTTTTTCTCAAGGTGCTTACATGTTGTGTGTTGTGGGGATGGGGAGAATGGAGAAAGAAGGAAAAGGGAAATGATACTGAACTAAACACATAAAAGTTGTATTAGGTGATATTCATGAGGCAAATAAAGCAAAGGAGGGGAATAGGAAGTTCTGGGGGGAGTGGTATGAGGGAAGAACATTCAGAGACAAGAAATCAAAGTCTTGAGGCTGAGGAATGCTTAATGTGTTCCATTACAGTGAGGTCAATATGGCTGGAGGGAGAGAAGGATGAGGTAAAATTGTATATTGTGAAGCCAGAGGGGACCAGGTTGAGGTGTCTGGTTGGGTCCTGGAAATAAGTTTGGCTGTTGATCTAGGATGCAAAGCCACTAGACATTTTGAGATAGGGAAAGACACAACCTCTGTTTTAAAAATTCATTCAGACCACTGTATGTGTGTGGTGGTAGTAGGGGGAAGTAGAAAGATCAGGTAGGATGCTATTATTAAGACACCATGATCGCTTGTACTGGAATTTAAGCAGTGGGGAAGAAGGGGACTGGGAAGAACTAGACACTTTCAGGAGATAGTTTTTGACAGCACAGTGAACAGAATTGGTTGATGAATTGGATGGTGAGTGTACTGCTGAGAAGGATCAGGGAAAGGGAAGTTCTGTAAGAATGATTTTTTTCTCCTTTATTCAATAGTATATCCCAACACTCAGTAAATAAATAAGTGTCTGGTAATGATCAGATTCCTTGAATAAATGTAAAGGGTATCTCTGATTTGTATTATTCTTTTTGTGAACTTAGTAAATAGTGGTTAAAATATTTACAGACAAATGAAGTACTGTTGCAACCACAGTTCGAGCAAAGCAGTAAAATTTCTCCTGATAGAAGCTGATATTACTGCATCCTTGTTCCCAACTGACTAAAAAATCAACCAGAGACTGCCTGTAACGGAGGAGTACTTTGTTATAAAACATTTATTGTGAACAAACACAAACCAACAGTATATGGGAGAATATATACAATAATACTTTGGAGAAAAGCCTAAGAAATGAGAGGCTGGAGTCGTAGTTTAGTGGAAGAATGAATATGTTTGCTTACTTAGCCCTGAATTCAATCTAGAAAGGTTGCAAAACACATGGAAGGTTCCAACATTTTTGTATTCTTGAAACACCATCAGTAAAATGAGAATAGTGATATGCAGAGAATGAGTGAGGAAAGACTAATTATGCACACATTTAAGGCAGTTTATGAAATGCTCTATTTGGTCATATCCTCAATATTTAGAAGTATGACACATTCTATGCCTTATTTTTCTACTACCGTATCTACTAATAACACTACACCAGGTGATAGACATAGGTGGCAATATACCTGATCAACCTAGAATACAACTACTTCTAATGCTCCAATATATAGACTTTAAGGGTAAAGAGGACCTGTTGACACGAGTTATACCTAGAAGTGACCCACAATACTGTTCCATTTTCCCTCAGTGATGATTTATAGAGGCTAAACACCAATACTTGCTTTTGGCAATTTTCTGGTAGAAAATTAGAACAGATGTTCAGTTCTAAAAATCCGTATGGTTCTTGCTCCAGTCTTCTGGGTGGGAGTCTTGCTACACTGAATTTCTTGAGTTCCTGCAGGACATGGTGGGCTTGGGACCCCTGGCAGGCTGGTTTTCCTCACCTGATTATGTATCCAACTAGATTATGTCCAAGTGACTTAGATTATTCTAGGTCTGTCCCTCTCCTTGGGATGGGTGTTGGGGGTGGTGGTGGTGTCGATCTTCAGTCATGTCTGGTCAGGACAATCTTCTCACAGAGCTCTGCAGAGCAGAAGTTTAGGAACAGTGATCACACTCAAGTGGGCAAACAGGTGCAAGTGAGGGAAATTTCATGGAATTGAGAAAGCATACTTTTTTTTTTTTTTTTTTTAAATACTGGCTATTTAGGGGAAGGTACAGGAGAACTTAAGGCTCCTTCAGGCCATCCGCAGTCCAGCTAGGGTTCCCAACCCCTTCAACTGGGCCCGGTACCCCTGACTCCCCATCCCTCTGGACACCCCAAGATCGCAAGGCTCGGAGGCCTGGCATTCTGGTTCAGAGCACATCCAAAAAGCAGGGCCACCTGGGTGGCTGCAGAGTCGGGGTGGGGTCAGGCTTAACCTGGGCCAACTCTTGCCCAGGCCCAGGTGAAGTTTCCCTCCTTTGGGGGCCTTGGGCACCACGCGGCTGGGAGTCGGGTTTGAGGTGTGGGCTGGGACTTCTGAGGCGAGTTGAAGTCCAGGGGGGAGGGGTGCGGTGGATTGGGGGCACAAGGCCTCCCCCACCCCCCCCAATCCCTTCACCATTCTTGGGCCATCTCCCACCCCCTAGCCTTCGTGTGTCCCTTTAATGCGCGCGCCCGTCAAGGTCCCCGCGTCCCCTCCCCTCCAGCGGCCCCTTCAGCCTGGACTCCCCCCCAACCCCCCCCACCGCTCACCTTCCCTGTCGCTCCTTCCCGGCTTGACGCCCCTCACCCCCCCACGCTCTGCGGCCCAGCCAGAGAGCGGGACTCAGCTGTCACTTTACTTTTCCGTCCGTCCCCTCCCCCTCCCCCCCTCCCCACCGCTTCCCCTCCCCCTTCCCCCCACCCCCCGCAGGCCCCGCGGGGCAGCCGCTCTTGCGCGCGCCCGCCCCCGCCCCCTCGCGGCCGCGCGCCGGGGGAGGAGGGGCGAAGGGGCGGGAGGGGGGAGCGCGCGGCGCCGCACGGCCGACGTGGGGCTCGCGCTCTCGCGGTCTCTCCCTGGCGGGCGGGTACGCGGGCGCGCGCGCGCACGGGCGGGCGCGCGCACGGGCGGCCGGGCGGAGTTGGCTCCCGGCGGTGGTGGCTTCACTTTCCAGGACTGAGGGGCGGCCAGAGCCGCAGCCGCGGGCAGCAGCCTCGAGAGCCGGAGCTGGAAAGGCCGGGGGCGGCGGTGAGTCCGGGGCGGGCGCGAGCGCGGCGGGGGAACAGGCGTGGCCGGGCGGTCGGGTGCGTGGTGAGTGGGTCCGGCTCCCGGTGACTCGACGGTGTTGCGGGGGACACCCGGTCCCCGGGGGGGGGCCCCTCCCCGCCCCCTCCCCCGCGTCCTCGGGCTGCGGCGGGCGCCCGCGACCTGCGCCTACACCTCTCCCTCAGGTACGGGCGCGGGCCGCGCCGGTGTCCCCGCCGCTCCGCGGGCGGGCGGGCTCCCCTCCCCCCCGCCCCGCCCCCTCCCCCCACGCCGCGGGGCTCTGCTCGCCCGGCTCGCGCCCTACTTCTCGCCCGCGCTGCCCCGCGCCCCCTCTGGAGAGCCGCCTGCCCCGATTCTCGCCCTTTCCACCCCTCCCCCTCCTCCCCATCCTCACCCCCCTCCCCAGCCGCGTCCCTCCCGGCCCTTCTTACCCCCCCCCCCACACCCGGCGGTTCTCGGTTCCCCATCCTCCGCCACCCTCCCGGCCCCTTCCCTCCTCCAGCCGCATCCTGGAACTAAGCCTTTGCAAAAAAAAAAGGAAAAAGTACCGGCTGCGTGTATGGGTGGAAAGTGCTGGCTCGAGCCCGGCTGTCCCCGGCGTGCACCGCCGCCGCACCCCGGGTCCCTCCCGCCCGGCCCCGGCCCGTCCCGCCCCGCCGGCCCTCCGGAGCCCCGTCGGGAGGAGACCTGGGCGGGGGGTGTCTTTCTCGGAGCCCTCGAGGGGGACGTGTGTTGTCTTCTTGGTCTTTTGTGAGGATGCCCGGTGCTGGTCACAGTTGGGATCCCGAGCCCGTTTTTTTTTTTCCTCTGGTTTTTTCTCTGCAGCCCCCACTGGCCTGATTTGAAACTAGATTCCCCCCCCTCCATCTCCCCTTCTCCTTTCTTCCCCGCCCCCCCTCTTCTCCCACTCGTCATGTTTGCATTCTCTTGCCCTTGATTACTTTTAATGAAGATAAAGCATGGTCTCTTGTGGGGCTCCCCACTACCACCCCCCCCCCCACTAACCAGAAATGCCCCACCCATCTTCCCTAAAGGAAATTAAGGCCCCTTTAGGAAGACATCATCCTGTGCTTTCTAGCTGTTAGACACCTTTGCAATGTTTTTTTTTAAAGATCCATCGCTTTTTTTTTTTTAATTGTGTGTTCTTGAGCGTCTCCTCAGATATTTTTAAAAGTGCAGAAAGAAATCCAAGGGCTCACCCTCTCACCATCTCAGTGTTCCCCCAGATTTTAAGCGCTTCTGAGTTTTTAATCCCTGAGTATTTGAACAGTACAGGTCTGAAGACGTGATCATGGGTCTGGATACTGGGAATCTTAAGTATTTGTCCTTATTCAGAACAATTTGGATGCTCCTTGTGCTTTGGGGTTTCATGTGTCCACAGATGAGGAAGATGGAGTGTTTTCATATATAACAACCTTGTTCTGTCTCCCCTAGGATGCAGTATATTTTCCCCAAAATCAGGTGTTGTGTTAAAGGTTTCCTGTATAAATATCCTTAAGTTAACTGCTGGGTATTACTAGGTGTTGTGCATATAATATAAATCATTTTATTTTACATTTTAGAAAAGTTTGGAAATGGGAATAGGAAGACTTGCAAGACATAGGTGACAGAATTAAATGTTTTCTTTCAGTAAAAGTGCATATAAACGGTTGTTTTTGTGGTTTCTAAGCTGCAAGACATGATTATAAAGCTTACTTTTATATAGTGTGGGCTTATGGAGGGAATATCGTTGTTTTTGTGTTGTTGACAGTATTTGTAGCCAGACCACTTCGTCTGTATGGAAGGTGTGCCTTTCATTCATATATGTAGCTAATTTCTAAGGACTGTAGTTTCAACAGAGAAGTAATCAAGCTTAGGCAATTTATGAGTTGAAGATGTAAGTTTACAATATGTAAACTCTTTAAAATATAACATACATTATGAAAATCTACTGCTTAATGTTTCAGTGAGTATGAGTTAAAAATTTTATCGATCTATTTACCTTATCTTTGAAACTGCCATAGGAGAGTAATTATAATCCTGGAGTTTGTCTTCCTTCTAGATTTCATAATTGGATCAGACAAGCTTTTTGGGAATCAATTTTAAAATACTAATTCAGAAAATGATAAAAAATTTTAATGTAGGAGGTTTTACTTTAAAGAATTTGTAATTTAAAGAAACAAGGTACCACATTTAAAAGTGGAATGTTTTTCATTAAAAAATTGAAATATATTTGGACTTTTAAAGCCAGACATGAAGCATACTGATATAAATGTCAGTATTCTATTAAGTGACTTTAGTGCTCATAAAAGATGTCATAGCTGTGGAGACTGATGGTCTCCATTTACAGAATAGGTAGAGACAGTAGTCAAATTTTCTATCACTGTGTTTCAGAGCAGTTTGTGCAGACTTATTTTTCTTTGGCATGATGGAAGAAAGCTCTCGGTTGAGAGTGGTAATCTGTGGTGTCTAAAGGCATTTAGTATTTTCTTCTGGTGATTCTATGACATACTAATACATCAAAGATTATTGTACCATATTTACAAAGCAGCATTTTGAATTTATCATTTTTGAAAAAGACAAGTACCAATCACTCAATGGCCAAGTTTTATTTTAAAAAGAATGCAGCCAGAAGCCAGTGGCTCATGCCTGAAATCCTACTCAGGAGACTATGATTTTAGGATTGCAACCTGAAGCTAGTCAGAACAAGAAACTCTATAAGACTCTTATCTTCAATTAACCAGCAAAAAGCTAGAAGTGGAGCTGTCTCAAGTGGTAGAGTACTAATCTCAAGCAAAAAAAAGCAGAGAAATAGTACCCAGGCCCTGAGTTCAAGTGCTAAAAAATATATACATATGTGTGTGTATAAGTACAAAATAAGTGCATTAAAAAATGCTCTTAAAAGAGCATTACAAATGTAGGAGAGAATGTAGAAATGACCAATACTGGTCATACAAATACTGATTATTCTAGAAATGAAATTTACAATAAAAAGGACATGGTCTTTAGATGGATGATTGTCAAAAATAAGTGTAACAACACATCTGGTAAGGATAAGCCCTCGAGAAACATGTAGAAAAGTTGGGTAATACCTACCAATATTGCAAGTGAATCTCCCATGTGATCTAAGCATTGAACTTGTAGAGGTACTCAAGGTAGTATACACCAAGAAAGCATCTTGTTATCTGTGTTTTTGTTGGCCCACACATTCCCACGTGCAATAGGAGAAATAGTAAGTGATTAGGAAGCTATAGCTTTCAATATGTGGAAGTTGTAAGGAACTCATTAACTATGTTGAGATACAAAGAGATCAAAACAAAATGCAGAATAACTATGGTTGGACAGTAGACTGTGAAACTGTCACACCAGCATAGTGAGAAGTAAAGTAGGTGCTGAGGATAGTGCTCCTCCACCACTCAGACACCAGCAAGTAGCAGACAGAAAAGCAGGACAGCAGGCATCTCCTGAAGACAGTTTGACACAATACAAAATCATCTTGCCAAGAACATGAAACCTGGATGTGGTTATGTGTTTGAACGAAACCGAGGGACATCAAATCCCAGACTATGGGAAAGTACAGAAGGGATGGCATGATTCCCAGAGAAAGAGCTAGAAAATAACTGAGAGAAGGCACGTAATTTCAAAGATGCTTAAATGATATACCAACCAATTTCAAATATTGGGCCTTAAATAGATCCTGAATTTAGCAAACTGTACAGTACTTGTTAATAAACAGAGGAAAGTAAAATTGGATTGTTATAACAGGAAATCATATTGTAATTCTGATTGCAGTAAATACAGCATTGTTATATAGGGGTCTTTGTTGTGGTGTGTGTGTGTGTGTGTGTGTGTGTGTGTGTGTGTGTGTGTGTGTGTTTTGTCAGTTGTGGGGCCTGAACTCTGGGCCTGGGCGCTGTCCCTCAGCTCTTCAGCTCAAGGCTAGTGCTCTACCACTTGGGCCACAGCACCACTTCCACCCTTTTTTGCTTATCTGGTGCAGAGGAATTGAACCCAGGGCCTCATGCATGCAAGGCAAGCACTCTACTACTGAGCCACCTTCCCAGCTCTCTGTAGGTTTTTTATTTGCTTTCTTTTTGCAGTGCTGGAGCTTCATATGTGCTATATAAGTGCTCTACCACTAAGTTCAGTTCTAAAGTGTTTTTAAAAGTCTTTGTCATTTCTTGGAATACATTTCAAAGGAACTTTTTCATTTCAAGTGAACTCCAAGATATGGAAACAAGAGTTTTTATTTTGTTGTTTTCTGTTTGTTTTTTAATGTATTGTGTGAAGTTCTTTATTCACTTTTTTTTCCTTTGATTTATCCTCTGTCTCTGAGCCTCTTTGTGCTCTACTCCTTACGCCACAGTGCCACTTTCAGTTTTTGAGTGGTTAATTGGAGATAACAGTCTCACAGGGAGATTTCTGCCTGACCTGACTTTGAACCATGATCCTCAGATCTCAGCCTCCTGAGTAGCTTCACTTAGGTTTTTGATGTTGTTGTTTGTTTCTTGTTTTTTTTGTGCTAGTACTAGGGCTTCTAGACACTGTCCTTTACCTTTTATACTCAAAGCTGGAGCTCTAGCACTTAAGTCACAGTTCCACTTCCAACTTTTTGGTAGTTAATTGGAAATAAGAGTCTCACAGACTTTCCTTCCAAAGTTAGCATCAAACTGCAATCCTCAGATTTCAGCCTCCTTAGTAACTAGGATTACAGGGATGAGCCACTGATGCTTGCCTCTCAACGTTCTTGTATCCAGCCATTAGCAAAGTGGATCGCACCAATCCAAGGCTTCAAGTACTTGTCTCTTGAGTTGCTAAATAAACTGAAAGATACTTACAGCTGATATCAAAACAGCATGTATCGGCACAGCATGGTATTTACAATAGCAGCAGGAAACCTGGATTCATAAGTAGGGAGTGTTTATGATTATTAGAGTTCCAGGACAAAACATGGAATTCAACACCAACTTTATACTACCAAGCAGAGTCAACATGTAATAGAT